TCCTTGGTTCTGGCAAACTTGACTGATACGCCTTTATGTTTTTCTTTTGGGGTCTGTCCTATATGGGGTTCACTCTGCTTTCACTCTGATATATATATATATTTTTTTTTCCTCTCATTTTTCATTACACCTGCAAAGTTTTCTTCTATGTAGCTCTTCCACAACTCTCTCAGTGCCTTTTTTTTCTTTATCTTCATGTTATGAGATTCCAATTATGTGCATGTTGTTTCTCTTGATGGTGTCCCACATTATTCTTAGGTTTTCTTCTTTATTCTTCCTTTCTGATTCTGATTTTTCTTCTAGCGGATCAGTGTTGAGAACTCTATCTTCTATTTCACTGGTTCTGTGCACCATCTCCTCAGTTCTGCTCATATGTCCCTCTCAGCACCTGAGACATTGGTCCTCATATTCTGGATTGCAGTTTCTGGGGTTTTTTCCCAGAGTTTCTAATTTCCCATTGGTTTAATCTGCATTGTCTTTGATTGTTTTTATAAGTTCCTCTTGGCTTTTGCTCGTAGAATCCTATAATTCTTTGAGTATATCTTTCACCCATTGGAAATATTCATTGTTCTTTTGAATTTTATATCAGAAAGTTCCATTAGACTTTCTGGCTTCAGGAAATTCCTTAATTCTGTGTTTTGATCACTTTTTTTGGGGGGGTGACATCTTGTTTTGGTTTTGGGGGGGAGGAAGCCTACTTCTTCCATGTAATTGCTATGGCAGATATTTTCTTGCCTGGAGTCCTAGCAGAACCTTTGTCTGCTGAGCTTACTCAGGAATTCATTGCTCCAGAGGAGGAAGGGGGAGCTCACCCTGCTTGAATTTCTCTCTGATTTTTTGAACTCAGAGAAAGACTTGCTTCAGTTGGGGAGCTGAATACACTAGAATGGAGGGGTAAGACAACTCACCCTGCCTGTATTTCTTTCTTTCTGGTCCTGTGGCAACAATTATTTGGTATTGTCGGAGATGGGGCAAATGCTTCCATTTCTTTCCCTCTGGTCCTGCAACTAAGCTATCTGGGGTGGATGGCTTGTTGTTTTCTGGTTGAAGCCCTCTCTCCTGAAATCTGTTGTCTTCCTTGGTCTGTGGAGTCGAACAGCCAGATTCCCTGACTGTCTTCACCACTGTGACCTTCTTCTCTAGGACTGTACCCTGTAGGAACTGATTGCTGGAGCCTTCGAATTAATATACACGGCTGGCAAAGGTGGATGATGATCCAGGCAAAAAACAATGTCTTGGCAGCATCCTGAATGTTAGTGTTATGTCCCTTACATATCAGAGAGATGCAAATAAAAGCAAGTATGAGATATCGTCTCATCCCAGTAACAATAGCAAAATTCAACAGAACAGCAAACAATAAATGCTGGTGAAATTGTGGAGAAATTGAAACTCATATTCACTGCTGGTGGGAGTGTAAAATGGTGCAACCACTATGGAAGATAGTTTGGTGCTCTCTTAAATAATTGGAAACAGAAGTAACATCTGACCCAGCAATACCACCACTCTGAATACACAATAAAGAAACCATAACCACCATCCAAACAGATAAATGCACACCCATGTTTATTGCTGTGTTATTTACAATAGCAAAGAGATGGAAATAACTCAAGTGCCCATCACCAAACAAATGGATAGAAAAAAAAAAACTGTAGTCATACAATTGGAATACCATGCAGCACTGAAAAACAGTGAACTCATATAACATTACACAACGTGGGGGACCCTGGAGGACAGCATGCTGAATGAAATATCTTAATCACAAAAGAAAAATACTGCATAGCACCACTGTTAAGCAGGTCTGACTTGAAGGATTGGGAGAAGAATTAGATAAGAGTGGACAGATAATGACCATTGCATTGAAACAGATGATGGAAAGAATGGTTTAAAAGGAATATATGATTAGGCATTATACTCATAGCAACAGAATAACAGAAGAAGAGATATATCATGGCAAAGAAGACTCAGGGAGGGGGATGGTAGGTAATTTTGCAACAATAATGAATATTTTTTTTAAAAGTGAACTAGGGGAGAGGAAAAGGGGTAAAATGTGCAATAATGAATGAATGGAAATATAACTGTTCTGTATACATTCATTAAAAGCACAAAATAAAATCTTATTTTATAAAAAAGAAAGATTAAATTAATATATTTAGTTCCTTGGTATATTCTGTGTAATTTTTCTGTGATACATCTCAACATCAAGAAAACAAAATTCCTCACCACTGGGCCATGTAGACACCATCATGATAAGTGTAGAAGAGATTGAATTGTCAATTCATTTTACTTGGATCCACAATCAATATCCTTGGTATCAGCAGTCAGGAAATCAAAAGATGTCTTTCACTGGGACAATATGCTATCAGATACCCCTCTAAAGAGCTACACAGAGCAAGGATATCCATTTTAAAACTAAACTGTGTCTGATCCAAGACATGGTCTTTTCCATTCTTCCTATGAAATGTATGCCTCTGATTGGACGATGCGTAAAGAATACTGAAGAAGAATGAATGCCTTTGAATTGTGGTGTTGGTGAAAAGCCTTGAGTATATGACAGATTGTAAACAAACAAATCCTTTGTGAAGGAAACCACGGTGCTCCTTAAAGGAAAGGATGGTAAAACTTCATCTCACATATTTTGAGAATATTGTCAGATTGGGCAAGTTTTTGGAAAACTGTGTCATGCTGGGAAAAGTAGAGGGTCAGTGAGAGAGGAAGACTCTCAAGGAGCTGGATTAACACAGAGACTGTGATGATGAGCTTGAGCATGTGGAAGATGATGTGAACGGTGCAGGATAGAGCAAGGTTCGGATCTGTTGTTCATAATGTCACTATAAGTAGCAGTCAACAACAACAACATTTATAATTTAAGGAGATGTTTGTTTAATAATAGAGCATATACCTAACTGAAACTTTGGCAATTTCTATTAGACCCTTATATTTTTATGTGTTCTTTAAGGTTAATTGCACTTGGGTGATTTCTGTTTTTCTTGCATAAGTTTATATTTTGTTTGATGTTTATTTATGGGGAAACTTTTAATGCTTGTGTATTACCTCAAAAATTACTTTAAAATGTCCTAAGGTCTTAGAATGACGCAGTGACTTAGTTGGATCTGTATTACATGCAAACTGACAAACTCTGAAACTGTTTATGGAGCCCTGAATTCTGATGGAAAGCCTGAGAGAAAGAAGCTAAAAAGGTGATGGGTTCCCCAACCACACAAAAAATACTAAATCCAGGCTTGGTTTATACTAGAAGTACTCAAGAATTCCAGATCTGAACTCTACTCTAAAAGTCTTAAGTACACTTTGTGAAAGGCCTCAGAGTCTGACTCATTGTAAACATGAACTGGCCACAGTATGAGCAGTTTAAAGGGCCAGGTGCTGATTTTAACCTCAATATCATTTTCTGTTCACCACAAACCAAAAGAACAGTTATCAACTGTTAACATCTTTTCCTTGTTCTCTCCCAGAGAACTATGAGATCTGAAAATGAGTGTAAAGTACTACATTAAAGCCATAATTTGGACAGTATTTTGGCTGTAGGGGTTATAACCACATCAATGTTGAACACTAGGACTCAGTATTCCTTCTGTGTTGTAGAGAAACCCCATAGGTCAAGTGGAGGGTCCACGTTTTCCAACAACCCATATGCTATTTTGTCCCTCAGCAAGGAATGTTGTGTTTAGATCATTGGGAGAAACCCATGTGTCAGTCATGGTGATTGTTTAGTTAAGATAGAGGCTAAGCTGCTGTAGAATTAAAAATTAAAACACTAAAACAAACAAACAAACAAACAAATCAATGATTTGAATAAGAGAAGCTTGTTTCTTTCACACATAATAAGCAGGCCTGTTCCCATCCACTCGCCTGAATGGTGGGGCACCTTTACCAAATCTAACTCTAAGATTACTCTGTCATCATCATTTCCTGCCTACAAGAAAGGAAAGCATCAAAAAGATAAGAAAATATTTTTCAAGTAAATGACCATCTTGTTCACATCATTTCTGCTCAAATTCTCTTGGCAAGAAATTTGTCAGATGGCACATCTGCCTTTAAGGGAGGCTAAGAAACAGTTTTGCAATGAGTGGCCGTGTGCTCAGCTAGCTCTCATGTGTGGACCCAGAGGAGAACGGAGAGCTGTGATTAACTCACATTCTGTCAGTGATGAAATAAAGAGGTGATTTTGTCATCTGTCTTTTATGTAGAAAGTAATGGGGGGGATGATCTTATTTTTTAGATAGCATAGAAAGATCCTTATGACTAAATAAAACAAAACAAGAGGAGTCCTCTGATCTCAACAGGCTGGCAAATGTCAAACAGATACTTTCCTTTGTACTTCCATATGATAAGCGGTGGCAGTGGTGGTCGTGGTGGCGGTGGTGGTGGTGATGGTGGTGTTGGTGATAGTGATGGTGGTGG